TGAAAAGACAATGCAGTGTGTCTCTACAACCATAACAATTACACAAGGCTTTATTTTTGGGGAGCTGTATGATAAAGAGTCATGCTGGTTGTCTTTGTATGCAATACACCTAGTTTATGGTGCTTTTTAATACAGGTAAAATAATACCGAGGATGGTATATATGAACTTATTGTGACGTTTTGGCTTTTTTAAACATCCAGCTATCGAATAATTAAATACTAACATTTCCACCCCTTGTCTTTGATTGAATCTGCTGTTTGAGAAACAGTACATGTGTTTTAAACCAGAACAAAATGAAACTGATCATTCACAAACCCCCCCCCCCCCCTCGTTTTTAAAGTTATGATTTTACGCTTTACTATGTGGAAACAATCTTCCGGCTTTTATTTTCCCTTAAAGGCCAAACTCCGTTATAAATCCAGCGTAACTTCACTGAAGTATATAGAGTTACTCTGGATTTACATCGGTGTAATTGAGAGCAGGACTGAAAATCAGTCCTACATTTCAAAACAAACTTCTTGTTGTCACCAACATTTCAGTGATTAAAGCCCGATGAAGTGTATCCGAAAGACGTGTCCTGCTTGAGATTTAATATCAAAAGCACGACATTTTGCAAAAAATACAATATAATAGTACAATAATACAATAGTGCAATCATTAGTGTGACTACATATCTATAAAGTTTCACTCGTTGACAGAAAACGGTTTTTAAATGACAACGACAGTCGTAATCAGTAAAACGAGACGCCACAACTCGAGAGATGAAAAATCAAATTAGTGTACAATCTATTATTTTATTTCTCTTTGCGTATCTCTCTCTATCCCTATTTCTGTATTGCGCATGGCCACGTGCATAACTGGATATGTTTCCCTGTGCCCATAGAAAGAGATGCAGAAGCATTCATGACAGAAGCTAATCTAACCTGCCAGCCTAAAATGCTAGCAAGAGATCAGCTCTTCTTCGACAAGAAAAAGACACTGACAACTAAATCTCTCCGTCCAACGGAGATTGTGTTTCAATCACATTGAGTCCGAGTTCTCCGCTTGGTTGGAACTCTGACCCGAGCACTGTCCCTTCGCTTATTGGGCCTGTGCTTAAGGCTTCGCTGGAAAACCTTGTGGACAAGAGACCGCACCTGCCATGCTTCCAGGGGGCTGCACGTGAACTGTGATAAGGAATTTTGGGAGCAAAGGTGATGAAAAGGTTAATGGCAGTAACGTGCCCTCTGCCGCTCTATTGACAGGCGAACGGCTAAACACACGGAGGGGGTTTCGCTGGGCTGGGAAGTGCTTTTGCAGGCAGGGAACAATGTACTCGGGGCAGGTTTGCGTTTCAGCTCAGCGGAGTCTCGGGTCACACACGCGTGTGTTTGCTAGCACGGGACAATAAACAGGGGACTTTGATTTCACCTGCGGCTCCTGCTTCCCTTGAGAAGCCTGCAGAGGGGAGACCACCTTTGTGTTGCACACTCAACGCGGCCTCTCCAGAAAGAGCGTATCACCGTTCGCTATCGCACACAGGCTCGCTGGAGTCAACATCTGCATTCCGAAGCTGAGTGAAGATGCGCCAGCGCAGATTACAAGACTGTGTTAATCTGTCCTGCCTCGGGTTCACTCGAATGGGAAAGTTGCCGGAGTGAGGACTGTAGGAGCGGTGGGTCTCCCGGATTCCAGAAACACCTCGATTTGCAGCGTCTCCCGAAGGGGGCATTTATCCGCAGCCTCGGCATGAAAGATTATAAATATGCCCTGTCACACATTGTTGAATCGGCACAACCGGGGAGTCACTGGGCGCTTGCAGCATTGAGCGCAAACGGGCTTAAATGTCGTGCTGAACATCGCCCTCACTGCAAAAGGGGGGATTGTTAACGGTTGTGGGGATAAAGCCCAGATGTAGTTTTCGTGCAGCTTATAAGTAACAAGGCACTTGGGTATCAATGCCAACCCTCCGGACACAGACTGGGGTATGGAACCAACCTGCCGGAGCAGAGGGAAGGGCACGTATCCACGTTAAGGGTTATTATTATGAGCACTATTTATCATTCCACTGCTGATTTGCACATCAGAAATAATAGCCGCCAAGTTATCGGGGCTTTTAAAATTAAATTACATTTGCCACGGGAATCTGTTGTACTAGCTGGGCGCATGTGTAAAACTTTTAAAAACAACACGGGGGGGGGGGGGGGGCCTCCGCTAGTTCTAGCAGCGGGTCTCATTCAGGCACCTAGAAGCATGAGTAAACAGAGATGAACTGCGCCTTGTTCTCAGGCGCTCACCAAAAGTACACACTGCAGGACCCGCTCATTCCGGAGGGAAGGACTCTCGGCCACACGCTGCGGCCAGCCTGCCTC